GGCAGTCGGGGGCGCGCCCTGGTCCCAGTTGGAAGCCCTTACCGCCCCGCTGCCCACCCCCCCCCCCGGAACCGCGTCTCTTTTGAATGGAAATAAGGCCCAGGTGGGCGTCCAGGTGAGTTTTGTCGCGGGATACAAAGTTGCACATCTGGATGCGCTCGTCCAACCTTGCGATGTTGGGAAAGAAGGACCGGCTGGACACATCTATGCGTGCCAGGAAGGGGGGGGAGAAGGGAGGGAACAGCCCCTGAGCCCAATGCAATTGGGTGGCTACCCCCATCTGCCTTTCACACACACACACACACACACACACACACGCACGCCTCCCTCCACCCACCTCCTTGCACCCTTCTCCGATTATATCAATGACTCCGGCGGTCACAGAGGGCAAACAATGGGAATTCTTAGCCGGCAAACTTAGATCCCCGCAGGATTGAGAACGGTCCCCGAATCGGGGGGAGGGGGTCCACAAAGGGGGGGCCACACGATTGCAGCTGAGTGGGGAAAAGTTTTGGCCGAGAGGCGGATTATTTTCATTTTATTGGGGGAGCGACGGGGCCCCCTTGGCAAGGAGGAAGGCCCCTTTTCTTCTGGGGGATTAGCCGGAGAGCCGTCCGAAAGTTGGCGGGTGAGGGGGAGTCGGGGTGAGGGTTGGCTTTGGGGGGGCAGAATTGCCGGGTTTTGGGTGGCTTTGCCCGGCCGTTGGCGGGCGATGCTGTCGTGGAAATTCTGGATGATCCTCGGGCTGTTTCTGCAAGGATGGGGTAAGTGCATTATTATTATTGATATTATTATTAATAATATTATTAATATTATCATCTTCTTCATAACGAGCTGGCACGAGATGCAGAAAAGGGCACTCCAAGGGGCTTGAGAAGTTCCCAGACAGTGTCATTGTTCATCCATACCGGTCTCACGGATTTGGGGAGGGACGCGACGCACTAACCGGGGTTTCGACCGGGGAGACAATTGAGTAACCATGGTGGGAGCAAGCCGGGCCACAGCAAAGCCATCCTTGGCCGTTTTCAGGTCTCATTTCCCTTCGGGATGGGCTCGGGGGCGAAAAAACCTCGGGGTGGAAGCCGTCGGGAGCCCCCAAGCCTGGCGATCGGAACAAAGGGCACCTTCGCGCTCGGACCAAAGCTTTGCTGTTCGTTTTGGGTTCTGCACCAGCATCATTTGGGGGGGGGGCACTGATGTTGGGAGGTTCAGTGTATTTTGGAGGACACGCCCTAAGAAGTTTAAAAAAAAAAAAAGTGTTTCCATGGACAGCCGGGCAGTGTTGGGTGTGCATATTTTCGCAGGTGGGTGTGCTATTCACCAATGTTTTTAGCAGGGTTATTTGGCTTAAACAGCACGATCCAGCTGGAGGTGGTCTGTTTAGAATCATGGTTTGCCAAGGATGCCAGCCATCCAGGTTAGGGCTTGTAAATTATTCAAGGAACCAAGGTTGGCTAAACTGTGGTTTAGTGTCCCGGGCGAGCTGGGATGCCCTATAGAGTAGGGAGGGTTTTTAAAAAAATTTAGTCGTCGATGCAGAATAATGGATTCTGAATTCATGGGGTTCCTTGCAGGGGTGTTTTTTCTTCCTAGCAACTCAGGAACTTCCTCAAGCAGCAGGAAAAAATGAAAATAAAGCCGATGATGAAATCCCAGGGCGTTCCACTTTCCAATTCTTGCACCCGCTTTGAAAGGGGAATCAAAGCAGAATTCGGTCTGGCCCGAGCAAAGCCCTTTCTAAAAGTTCCCATCGGACGTTTTCTCAGGTTATCGACGGTTCCTGCAAATACATTCACAAGGCCAAAGAGAGAACCTTAACCATTTTAGGATGGGCTTTTAAAACAAGCCTGCTTGACTATCTTAAAGGTAGAAGGTAGAATTGCCCGTGATTTCTCTTCCCATCTCAGAAGCCGAGATCTGTTTTCTCTGCAATTCCTGATCAGCCGCTAAATCCTCCCCGTAGATGAGTTTCCGCGGAAAGCTGGTTTGCCAGAAGGAAACCCCATCTTGGTAGGAGAGTAAACCTGGTTGTCCCATTCAGACATTACAAACTTGGGCGATCAGATGCCCGGCCTGCTCAACGAAGAGTAAAGAGTTGCTTGCAAGAATTGACCCAGGCAAGGACTGGGGTGACCACATGGAGATTACACGTTGGTTTAGGCCCAAGTTCACCGAACTATAGTTTGTCAAGTAAGCCACAACTCACTGAGTTGATTCCGCCCATTAAGCCAACATCCAACACAGCTATGATTTATCGTCGTATATTTCGCTGAATATGTTTAAATCACCGATTTCACTCCTGGTGGAAGTGACCTGATTCAAGTGATTAATTTTTTCAGTGGCTAAAAGTGATTAATTGTTTTAATATCTGGTAGCACGAATATCCGATTCCTACAGTCGTTTTTCTTTAGGAATTCAAAGCCGTTACGTCGGGGTCTCCTTTCGACCCCCGCACAACGACCCTGTGAGGTAGGACGGGCCGAGTGAGGTTCTGTGGCTGAGGTGGACTTGAATCCAGGCCTCGAAACTCAAGAAAAGTTGTCCCATCCTAATTTTAACAGCTGGATTTTCTACCCCCCTTCTAAGACTGGGAAAAAAAACCCAAACTGTGTCTCGGAGAAAATAGAGAAAAGGCACATTAAAAAAAAAAGCAAATTTGCACATTAGAGGAACGAATGGCTGAACGATGCCCCGATTTCCTGCCACAGAACGAGCAAAGGGACTCAAAAGATGGGGAGGAAGCAAATAAATAAATGGAACAAATAAAGTGGAGGTTATTTAAAATCGACACCTGCTTTTGGTGGAGATCAGTTTTGCAAAGTCTAAGTGAGAAGAAGTTGCGTGGAATTGCTGCGCCAAACTAGCCATGGTTACTGGCCACTCACGGGCAGAATAAGCCTACTTTTGGGGTTTGGACTTGCCAACGGGCTGGACTTGGGCAACGGGCTAAGTTCTCAAAAGTGTTAACTCAACTACACGCCACCACATGCATCGGAGAGCAGGTGCCCTGAGGTGGTGGCCTCCCAAAGTGTTAGACTCTAGCTCCCATCATCCCCAGCCAGCGAGGGGAAAGGGGAACGGAGATCCAAACCATTTGGCGAAGCCCCAGCCAGGTTCTGAATGCATGAAAGAAATGTCAAGGTCAGGCTAATGGACGTCTCTTCCATGATGCCGACCCAGATGTTCCACCACCAAAACGTGGTCTCCGTGTCAGACCAGGAATCAGAAATGCCTTCTGCTTTTTGAGTAAAATTGTCCCCAGAGGAGGAGATACGCGGTGGGTATCTCTCCAGGCAAATGTTATTCCACATATTGCAGTAGAGCATTAAAAAAATCAGAAGAAGTGAGTGACAAACTCTTCCTGCACTGGTCACCAAGATGGTATGGACCATCAGAAAACATCTATTTTGGGGAAACCATCATTTCATTTTTTCTCCATTGGTTCTCACGGCCCTATGCTGGTTAGTTGCTTGTTTTCCCAGGGAGAAATAATGTAGAGTCTTCCCCCCCCCCCGAATCTTCTTTGGGGGGACTTGGGAGATGTTAGGAGATCTTGGGTACTTGAGGAACGCTGGGGATGGTTGCATTCGGACTGGAGGGCTTGGGGAAACCACGTTGGCTGGCAATGCCGAGTTTCCTGGGCTGTAAGGTTGGGGAAAAGGTGGTGGGACAGATACAGAATTGGGAAGAAATGTACAAGGCTTTTCCTGCTTCCGTTCTGGAGAAGTTCTGGAGAACTTCGTTGGGCAGAGAGTGGTGTTCTGAGGGACCAGTGATGGTATGGGCTGGAAGGGAAAAGTTTGACAGAGCAACGCTTTTATCTCAAAATTGCTCCTTGTTTTGAAGCACTTCTCTTCTTCCAGAGCATCTGATGTTTGGGGGGAAAGGCTCTAAGGAGGCTAACTTCGCTTGGGGCTCAACCCACGTCCTAGGTGTTTGTAGAAGGAAGAAGACAGGGGGACCTGTCTGCAAATCTCCTTCAGGTCTTTGCAGGGGAGAACTCCTGCTGCTTTGGGGACATGAGTTGAGGATGTTTAAGTTTGGGGACAGCAACTGAAGAAATCCAGTTGGGGTTCTCGGGGGAATCTCCACTCAGCCCCCCAAAGTAACCTCGTTTCCATCCAGGCCAAATTCTTGCATCCCCCCATCAGGCTGAGCGTTGGTCCCCAGAGCTGGGCTCCCTTTCACGAGTGACTGAACCCAGGGCCAAGTACAAAGACAACCCAAGGATGGGGTGGAGGGGAGAGGGGTCTGGGGTCACGGCTCCCCTCGGCCCGGCCCAGGGGCAGGAATGGCGTCGTGATGGATGGACGGCTGGAGGTGAAGGTGCTGGGTGGGGAGCAGCGGGCTTGAGTGATGGGGAAGGCATGGGAACCTCACCCCGAGCGCGTCACGTGGCCGGGCAGATGGGCTGAGGGAGGTGGGCTCCATTGTGCCACTGAGGGGACAAATAAGACTTCCTTCGCATCTCCTGACCCCTCGCATTGTCCGCCCTCTCCGGCCCCCTGTGAGGCTCCTCGACAGCCCCACCACAGGGCCTCCCTCACCCGCCTTCCAGTTGCTAAGCCGAGGCTGAAACCCAACATCCATCAAGACGTCGAGGGGACAATCCCCGGTTCCCCGCCCCCACCCGGGGCTATTGTCACTGCCAGAGTTTCACTTGGAGATGGGGGTGGCCCGCAGCTCTGGAGGCTGCAAGCAAGCCAACTCCTAAGGGGATTAAAGGGTCTTTTGTCCCTCCCCGCCCCGCCCCAGACCCCCAGCCCAGACCAAGTGCTTTCCATCTGTTTGGAGAAGTGAGGACACAAGAGGAGCTGGAAGAGACCAGGTTTCCGATTCCCGATTCCCCTGCCCAGAAGGGTTGTCTGGTGCACCTGGTTCCAGAGAAGGAAGTGTCCCCACCTGGTGTCCTCTTCTCCCCTTCAGCCCTAAGCCTCAGAGAACCCAGCATCTTCAAGACTAACACTCCAGGCCCCCTTCTCCCCGCTGCCCAAGTTGCACCATTCCTGATGCTTCAAGACCCTGAGATGGGCCCTCAGCTTCAACAGAAGGAACCGAGAAGCTGATGGGTCTTCAGTGTAGTGTTGACAACCAGAGGGGTGGGCTTCGGAGCAAAGCATCCCACTGCCTCAGATGGCTGCAGAACGTTGCCACAGCATCTGATGAAGGTTGCCAGTGGACACCCACTCCCCGCTGTTCTCCTTTGGCCTGGCTAACTGGGTCTGTGCATATTGTGCTTGAGGAACATCTGGAAAGCTACACCTGCCTTAACCCGGTTTGGCTTTGGGGCCACAGAGAGTTAATTCAGTCCATCTGTAGCCCAGTTCTCTCCCATTGGGGACCTCAAGGTAATCATGGAGGGCTCTTCTAAGCTGCCTCTCATTCAAACGAAGGCCAAACCTGGCTGGGTTTAGTTTGATGTAGATTCAGATCCTTATCTTCTACTTATTTATGTAGGATGCCTCTAACCACCCAATAACTGGGCATAGCAAGGTCTTTCTCTTCTCCCAGTCCCTCTGGGAAACTTTAAGTTTGTAAAGGAAGGAAGGAAGGAACGAAAGCAAAGCAGAGGGAGGGAGGGAGGGAGGGAGGAAAAGATAGAAAGACGGAT